CAGTATACTTTGACCACCTCAATCATCTGTCAATGTCAACCTTCTCTATGACCTCCTTATATTGCAGATTAACATATCGGGTGATCTCAATCGGGAGCTTCTCTAAGAAGTCCAAGGTCTTCTTATTATCCTCCAGACCAATGCCAAGCTCTGCGAGTTGTTGGCAAGCCAGAATCCACTGAGCCTGAAACTTCTTAAAGTCGGTCAAAGATGGCTGACTATTAAGTTTCAACGCATTATAACGCTTTAAAACTTTAACACGTCTACACTGGGTAGAAAGCTCATAAGTAGTCCGAAGGTATTCTTTGAGACCCGGATAAGACGTTTTCACACCATTAACATAGGCATCAGCAATTTTTCTACCAGAGCCCTTAATACTTTGATGCAGCAGCTCCAACTTGGTACCCTCACTAATAGTACCAGCCAACCCAATAACACGCTCCCAAGCTTTAATAAAGAACTGCCAGTCATCACCATCATCACAATTAAATGAAGGAAGCTGTAGACTGTTACTAAGTTTCACACCAACAGAGTGAGAACGAATAGTAGCAATTTGATGTTGGGTACTTAAAATATCACGTAGACCTTTGATCACACCTTCTAACTCAGAAAGTGCAATCGACATTTCTCAATAACCTTTTACAGAGTCTGCACCAAAGAGATTGTCCACGAAGTTACAATATCTGCACGAAGAGAATGTTCTCGGTTCCAGTACCAAAATTGTAGTGAATAATATTGATCACCACAACACAACTCACACAGAGTCGTTGAGGACACTTAGTCTTCAAACTTATCTTGTAATTATGAGTATAACAACACGGAGTAGCTCTAGCTTACGCTAAGATACTAGCTCCATATATACACAAAGGAAGACAATATCACAATCTCATCACAGCACAACTTTGAAGTTATCCGAGGGAATTCGCCCATGTTTCGACGTGATGACACTATGTAATGGTGACCGAGTTGGGAGTTGTATGGAAAAAGTACCCGAGTTGATAAGTGCCGGGTTTAAACCGTGCGCTTTAAGATAGTAGTAGTGATATGAACACGGTAGTATCATACTACCGTGTTCATATCACTAGAGGTGGCAAATAAGAAACGATCTCAGACTGCGAGTTTCAGCATCTTATCCGTTGTTGTCAACAGCGGATAAAGCGATGCTGAAACTCGGTTAATACAATATATTAACCGAGTTCTGGTAGCAAATAATAAGAGACAGCTGTATCATCCGCATCTGATTAAAGACTCTCGTAACGTCGATCGATGAAAATAGAGTTGGGCTTGGCATGCCCGCAACTTACAGGTTCAGAGCCTACTGGTGTTGAAGGCACCAACAGACAAACGAAGTGGTGCCATACTTTGTTTGCAGTCTGCAGCCGATCCTCCCGACGCCAAACCACATACTACGAGGTTTTTCCTCTCAGGAGACGTCGAATAATAATAGAACCAGGCTCAAGCGGCCGTAGCTGTTCCGGCGGAACAGTTTTGGAAACATAACGGAAGCTCGTAACATCGCCTCAATGTGAGCCGCAGCCCAATCATGAGCT